ACCGTGACAAATTTGCTGTTGCTCCTAGACCTTTTGGGGTCCTACCGGAGAGAACCTTGTGTGCATCTATGGTTAGGCAAAGACTCTGTACAGTTGGTGAACAATAATGGGGAAGATTGCTGGACATGACACCATCGTTACTATTCATATAAGAGAAAAACGTGAAAATGGTCGTGACGAGACGATATCCAAGACTTTGTATGCTCTAATGCTGTTCCTAAAGTGCCTTTGGTATTTCCTTACATGCTCTAAGCCGATATGTGCCCTGACTTTTCACTTAGAAGCTAAGATTGATTTTTAATCTCGCGCCAAGTGATAATTTGTAGGTGAATTATCTAACAATTTCATATAGAAACGAATGTTATGGTGGTTTCAAGTACGGGGGATATGCAGATGTGTCGCAAACTGCTCATGCTCGTTGTCGCCAATGCTCCACTCCCATCCTCCTGGTAGGCCGCTAGTTCCGTTTGTGAGAAGTCGGAAGCCATACACATTGGTCCAATCCCATGACTTCTGGCAATTTCTTGGGTAGATCTTCCAGGTTATCCAGCAGATAGCAGATTGGTCTGACACCTGCTCGATCCGCGATTCTTCTAATCTGACATCTAGACCAACCCCACTCTTATTGTATTGCAGGAAGGTCTCGTAAGCACCTTCAGCAACAACACTCTCATTCGATCGGATGCTGATACTCCCAAGGCTGAAACTTGTCTGATTAGGGAGGAAGAATGTTGCTACAGTGTCTGCAATAGTGCGAATTGGTACGGAAGAATTTCCACCTAGCTGTATTGCGGCCGCGAAAGCAGCAACGAAAGACTTCGCGGTGATAGTGATGTTGACCATGATGGAGCGGGCCGATACAGGTAAGCTTAAAATATGGTTGTTTTCTTGGCTGTATTGACTTGAAATCCTTCTTGAGATCTCTTTAAGTACCGGTTGATCGCCAGCGGCTTTCCGCTCCTTGAGTCAACGCGCAGCGGCTCGTCGGAACGAGCTGAGGTTTTTAGCACAGCCCTGCCTTCAGCCTCATTCGGACTTTAGCAGTAATAATTCACTGATTCGTCGAAAGGTGCAGTAGTGTCCCGCAGCTGATCAGAAGGATGGAGGCCATTTCATGTTCCTAGCACAAGGCTGCCATGTAAATCGTTGTAAGCCGTCACACACTAATCCCTCTTACGAGGTGTACTTCTCCCGCCCATTTAACATATGAAAAGCGCAATGCTTGAACAATATGACAAGAAACCAAGAAGATGATGAAAGATCATCCAGCCATCCGCCTAAATCCATACATTAATTTATATACAGAATGGTAGATCTAAAGGGTGCACGAGGTTATGTTGAGTCATGCAAGGATGGGAGAGGACCCGGGTCGTCGAGCCGAGCTCTATCGTCTTATGGATTAGCCACTGTATCACATCAAGGCCCACATACCAACACAGGCTGGCCATGCTGGAGAAGAGTCACTTGGTTTTTATCTTCTACCAGTTGATGACATCAAACCTAACTTAGTAGGCTCGGTTGACTGGCCCTCAAAGGTATTGATCACACGCCGCACAATGCCTCAAATTCGATGCAGCTCGGCTGCAGAACAGTTAATGAAACAGCGCAGCAGTGCCTACTGCTGACC